GTGGGGGAACTTGCACAATCGGTGGCTGACTAAATACTTTTTTGCCCCACTGTATATTAGACTTAATAGTTAATATATACAGTAATAGACTTCTATACATTTTACATCAGATTAAAACTTTGGGTGTAATATTCAGATAATACTCCTCCACATACTCCTCCGACAAGCTAAGGTTATGAGCTGAGTTACGCCATGTCGCAAGTTTTGTGAGGTGCTTTTGTGATATTTAATAGATCGGATTACAGTTCTTTATTTCCCTCCGATATACGATGTAGTAATTTAGGTCAGTATCGATACTGATACCGATACGCAATATCGGATCGGTCCATCCCTAGTTTAGGGTATATAATGTACCTCTTACCATAAATAGCCAAATCTAATCTCATAATAAAACTTTTTTTAACTTAAGAAATTGATTTGATAAAGGTTCATTGTGTCATAATATTTATACAGACCAAATGCTGACATCCCCTGGCCATCCGTTACTATTAAATCTAAGTGGAGGGAAGAACGTAAGCAAGCAAGAAATTTATTAATATATCACAATTCCCAGCTAAAAACAAAGTGATGTACATTTGATATGCCAAAAACGATACAATGAATAAAGATAAGCAAGAAGTCACATGTAAAATGATGGTTAGAATTAATTTTAAAATAATAAAATCAGCACAAATAGCAAAAATAAAATAGTATAAAATGATAATTAGAACTGCATTCAAGACAATAAAATCAGCACATTAGATTACACTAAAACAACAAAATCAGGGTGATACTGTGTCATACGCCAACAAGTAAAAATTGGTTTTAAGACGTGTTTTAAAAGAGCACAATGAAGGGGCCTCTCTAATGTGCTGTGGCAGATTGCTCCAGAGATTAGGAGACCCAGGGGGTGATTAAGGACGAAGAAGCTCAGAGAGGCAAGGTGGGGCAAGACTGTTTAAAAGTAGTGCAACAGGCTTTGAACCACCTGCAGATGAGAGAGAAGAAACTAACTCCAAAATACAGTGCATTAGAGTAATCTAAACGAGATGAAATAAAAGCATGGATTACTGTTTCAAAATCCGGCCTGGATAAAGCGCCTTAAATGATAAAAACTGTACTTGACAGTAGCCCTAATTTGAGGTTTCAATTTAAAATTACTGTCCATCTTAAAACCCAGGTTAGTAACAACAGGTTTAAAATACTCTGCCAGGGGTCCCAAATCAATAGTGGTCCGATAGAACCAAACATAGTCAAATCTATAAGAGTGGTGACTTAGTGCTATGGAGGTTTTTAAAACCTTTTTGGGACACATCTAAGATACCATTCTCATTTTAAAAAAATCCATCAATAGGGAATAAACAATTTTCTCTAAGATTTGGAGACAGGATCACTTGGAGAACCACTGGTGGCCGACCACATTTACATGATCTGCGCAACTTTGTTTATTATATTCATTGTTTTCATGAATGGCCAAATGGTCTGTTGCAATGAATTATGGGATGCCTTTTTCCCCTCCCTTTTTTATAAAGGATGCTCCAGTGCTAACGGAAGCAACAAAGGAAGCACCGAAGCACCTTTCCTTAGTATTTGGATAATCGGAGCAGCTTTTATAATGACTGCCACAGTTCCTAACTGAGAGACTAAGCAAAATGAACTATTAGAACACATCCCTATTTCTGAAATTAAACAATGGGTCTGAAGCTGTGTTTTTCTTTACAGAATTTGAGGCTTAATAACAAGTCAAAGAAGCAACTAACTTAATCTCGGTATAAATGATAATAGTACGGTTCTCTGTGAGCATAATCAGATAGATTTGCAGTCACAGAACCTTAATTAAGATTAAAATCACAAATCCAATGACAAACAGGACGGTGGCGGTGATGTTAAGCTCACGGGCAGTGAGCCCATGCCGTCGTGCACCCTCCAGATCTCCAGCCACCTTCCGGTCTCTGGCCTAGAAGGACATAAACACATAGACTGTAATAGTGTAATCATCTTTATCCCAATGTAAATTCAAACTGAAAATGTTAAGCATAGCCTAAGTTTCATTTTCTGGAAAAGTTACGCTTCCTGTTTTTAGTAAACACAAGCAATTATAATAATAATCCCAGTTGCCCGTTTTTTGTTTTTTTGTGCCCATATAATTTCCTTGTTACTATCAGTGTAGGAAATAATGTAAACTGTATAACATATTTAAGATATTTCTTTCATCAAGTCATTTATCTCTATTTTTATCTATATTGTGCTGTGTACATTGTTGTGCTTCAGCCCAAACTGTTCTTATGACTCTTGCAATGGTCTTAGTTAGGACTGAGTTTTCCTTGGAAGGTATTAGAACACACTTTTCCATTGATTTAGTCAGTTTTTTGCACTTCAGTTTTGGTGTTTGTTGTGTTAGATGCCATGATCATGTAGCTTGATTTATATGGTAAATCGATGTATATTAAGATATGGTAGGCAGGCAGGTATATATTCACATACAAACACACCTTGATAGAATAAATGAGAGCTGCAAGTCCAAGACAACAACAAGGGTGTGAGTAGAGAAAGCAGAGGAGGGACCAGATAAAATGGTCCTTTGGAGGCTCAGTGACGATGTTCACACTTGTGTGCTGAACCAATACAGATCCCCCAGGCTGTCCAGAGGGCCCATCATAGGTCCTCGCCTGCATTGGAACATAAGCTGGAGGTTTCATTGCTCTCACTGCTCTGAGCTCAGCTGCAGTTTGGAGAGAGGAAAGATGTTGAAAAGAGTTACTGACATTGATCATTTCATTTTTGAAGTCTTTGGGCAGTGACGGACTTAAAGCAGTTTTCTGTTAGAAACTGAACAGTAACAGCTGTGTCTTTGGGGTCCAGGGGTCCAACTTTCCAAATGTCCTCTCACCTGATTTTTTTTTTAAATCTTTGAATTGCGAAATCTGAATTCAATGAATAAATTGATAAATATAAATAAATAATGTAAATGATATGAATATGAAACATGCTTTGGGACAGAACACACGATTTTCTGAGGATTCTGCACTCACAGTCGGTGATACAAACTAAGTTAGCATGCAGTGACATCAAAAATTTGCTTACGCACAGTGATAAAATCTCTCTTCTGCTTTTTACATGAAGCCATTCTGCAGGGGGGGTAGGTCTCCCCTGCAGAATGGTCTGACTTAGTGGATGAATCTGCTGAGTGTCAGTGGGCTTGAGCACATAAACATCACCTATCGCCCTTCCCCCAATTCTGAAGCCTACATTTACTATCTTGATTGCTTTTCTGTAAGTGAGCACAGAACAAATGCAGATTACTTCTTCTGAAAACTGTACTATCCTCACCAATACTGCACTACCAATTACACCAATTACAACCAAAGACAAACAAAGAAGATTCTTATGTCACAACTTCAATATATGGCAGAGAAACGTCAAGAAACAGTCTTTCACAAGATTCCTCCATTGTGCAACAGCCTCATCGTGAAAACAGACAGCATTGCTACACACACACAGCTACACAGACACAAAATGAAATGGAAATTAAAAAGTTTTCCTACTTTGAAGTTCATCGTGCCTCTCCTCAGACTCTACCAAAACAACTGAATCTTCAGTTCCAGTATCACGAAACATGTTGGTCATTGCCCTCAGCTGTCTGTAATTATGTGAGGTCCGTACTCAAATTCCATTAACAGCCAAGTTCCCAGTATAGAGGAGTTGAAAGCAGACGTTGGTGGTTAGTTTCACATTTGTGCTGTGCTGTGCTTGGTTCAGCTATTTGCGTCATTCACATAATCAAAAGAAGGAAGTTTGATAAAAATAAATATTGAACGCTTTACCAATTTTCTAAGTAAATATATTTTGAACGGTGGTATTGACATCAAATTCTCACCAGATGTAGGCAACTATCCAGCCAGTAGATGTCCATAAGTTTTATGTTATAATGAAAAACAGTATAGTGAAAAAATCTGAGCCTATGAGAAACTGGAGATGCAAAAAAGGCAAGCAAAAGCAAGCCACTGGAGGTCAGGACACAGAGGAGTGAAAAGAAATATCAGAACAGTTTAAGAACTTTTAAGCTTTGCTGAACAAGATTTAGACAAATCTGTGAAATACTCTGAGAATATAATCTGGTCAGATGAGACCAGATGAGATGTGTTGTGGAACTTTTCCATTTAATAAGGCCTGCAGACAAGCGGTGAGCGGTAGCTAACATAGCGGTAGCTAGCAGCTCGGATCTCAGCTGACCCTTCTCACCCTGGACACAGTCTGTTTGACCTGCTCCCCTCAGGCAGGAGGCTCCGGTCCATTCGCACCAGAACCTCTCGCCATAAGAACAGTTTCTTCCCCTCTGCTGTTGGACACATGAACAATAACCGTATGACTGTTCCCACCACTAACACATGACCCTACGCTGTGTTCACTGCATCATTCCATGTTTGGCACTGATCACCACCTGCACTCATGTATATATCATGTATATATCTATCCACTTAGCACTTTTAATTCTTATTCTTATTTTTATATTTTTATGACAGTATGTTTGCACTGAAGCACCGCAGCAATTTCCTAATGTTGTAAACCTGCTCAACATTTGGCAATAAAACCCTTTCTGATTCTGATTCTGATTCTGACATTCTTTAATCAAAACAAGAACAGGTGAGGGAATGCATCATTGCAGGGCAGACGATCAGCAGAGTCCCGCCTGGAGCCTAGTATGGCTCTCTGTTACATACCACTTACAGGAACAAAAAGCAGTACACAGCTGTTTCACACCTTTGGTTTTTCCCCCTAAAGAAAGTTTCACACTCCCTTACAGTGGAGAAAGAGACAAAAGACCTCGTAACCAGTTTCCCTCATTCTCCTTCTTATCTCGTCCCACAAGAGATGCTCAAGGGTCTCATCTTCATCACAATTTACCAGAAGACGCCCGAGAGATGAGCCACACCACATCCCTAATATTCTCAATGATAAGCAATGATCTTATCTTGAATATTTTTAACTATCAATAAATTTTCTCCCATTTCTGCATGTCTATATTGAATTATACCTTCATTTTTAATATCATTAATTACTACTGTGGAGGAGTTGTCACCGCTATTGGATACTTTGCTGGAACACAGTAAAGCTGTGGGTTTTGGGAATGACCCATAATGTTTTATCTAGGGGTCTGGATTTATGCATGAAGTGCACTGCCATGTAAATAATTTGCATTTACTGAACATGTACTGACTGAGTACCACTGTTCAAAAGATGAATGAAGAAAAAAACTGATTTTTGCCCTTTTTTTTAAAATTAAAACCACTATATAGAACATAACATCAGTAACAATGTAGAATCCATGTCATTCATAGTTTACAAATGACAAAATGTTTACATAAAAATCATGACAGCATTTACATGATATCACCCACTACTAACATTACTTAATTTACTGTATCGTTTTAAAAATTACATTAATTATACAGCACAAGACTTATAATATATATTATATATTAATATTTAATATTAATATTATATATCGATTTTTAACAAGAACAAGTTTCATTTTCCCTGGTTTTACTACCACACCGTTCACCAAAATGCAGCAAACCATCACCATTTTTATCCAGAAGGGTCACCTCTTCACCCTCACATGGAAGAAGTAATCTGATTGGCATGGGATTTCGGAGTGCCCCTTGCTGGAACCCAGTCACGATGTGTTTCATCAATTGCTATGACCTCAGAGTGCATCGAAAATAAAACTAATAGGCTATATGAACATATTTAGAACTTACCGGAATGAAAATGTCTGGAGCAGCTCGTCTCACAGCTGCTATCCAGACTAGTGATGGGAATTCCGGCTCATTTCAGCTCAGCTCCGGCTCTTTCAGCTCCGAAGCAGCTCTTCAGGTTGATTTGTTGCTTTAAATAATGTATTGTTAACAACAATATAAAATGATGCACAAAATGAACTACTACTGTAAAAAATGTGCTTTTTATTTATAAATGTTTATCATATAAATATTCTTTTATTTATTCACAGCACACAAAATGTAAAAAATATATATATAAAGTACAAAAAACAACTATTTGCAATTACATTTTCAGCTTTTTTCCTTTTAAACCAATTCAAAATAAAACAACACAAAACACTGCGAACCACAACACAATAAAATATCGATTAAATTTATGCAAAACAAAAAGAAAAAGATGAACAACCAGATCTTTAATAAATGTAGGATCTTATTTCCAGTATTGCATCTGCTGAGGGATTCCTTCTAGTAGTGTTTCTAGTTGCTCGTTCTTCAAAGAACACTATTAAGCATTAGTTATTCATCTGTTAAGCATTAGTTAATGGTTACTTAATTATCTCTACAGCATCTACAAAGTATTTCTCATAATCAGTTAATAGTTTACAAGCACTGCTTTAAACACTTTATTCATGATGAATAAGCTAATGTATAACACTCCTTATTAATTATGTTTTCATGTTCTAAAACTCATTGATTAATCATTTATAAACACTACTCTGCATCAGTTACAAACCTGTCATTTCAGGATGTTCAATGGTATACAAAATCATTGGTAAAAGGTAAGTAGATGGTTAGCATATATAACCCAGAGTAAAATCTGTTTTACTAGAATTTAGTAATTTCCTGCCATTGAACGCATCACAAATACATGACTCCAACCACATGACTTTGCTCAGCCGATCGGCTAATTGGCTGCTGCCAGTCCAAACAATTTGATTTTGATTTTTGATTTGACCGATAGTGGTTGAATAACAAATGTTGTGAAGCTATATAATATGTATATAGCAGTTGAAATGTTTTAGTTAAATCCTTATTGGTTAAATATACTGTTTGTTTATTTATTTATAAATTGTGTACACAGGAACAAGAATAACTTAATGTATTTAGCTTAACTGGCTGACATTTTTGTATTATTCTTGTGATTTCTTATTGGCCTTGTTTATTTAATGCAGGCCAGGTGAACCTTTTTGGGTATGGAAAAGGATGGCGAGCCAATGAACGGCTAGGAGCAGGAATCATTCTGCATTGAAGCTTCCACTGGTTGGATAAGAAGCTATCAAAGACGACGCTCTGTCCCCATTTTCCGAATACACTGATTTCCACATTCATACACACCATTCCCCCCGTTTATGGACAATAGCACTTGGACATCTCTCATGGACATTCAGATAAAACTCGTGGACTTCAGTGTGGATCAGTGTTTTTGACGTTAACATGTGTTATTTATGGGGAACTTTTTTTGAGAATCTATCCGGTTGTTCAGTGATGACGCGACGAATCCTACTTCCGGGTCTAAAGTAGTCTGCGTTTAATATGGCTTTTGTGTTGTTAACATGTTTAATGTTATGTATTTTCTTCTATTTGATCTCAAAAAGCTCCTAAAACAGTCAGTGATCACTGTTGACCTCCCTCGGCTTTTATTACCACTAATCATTTATTTAAGCTCAGTTTTTAAAACCTTAGTATGTAACTACAGCCCAGCCCATGCAGCAGTATATGAATGACTAACCTCGTATTGTGGATGGATTATCTCAGTTGTTCTCCTGGCTGAATTTTGGTCCTTTTACAGCATCCTGCCATGCGATTACATTTGTTTCTGACCACCGAGAACACTCACGTTAACTTTTATCGAGTGGAAAAAAAGTTAGCTTGTTTATATTATGCTAACATAGCTGTGTCGCTAGCGGTCACGTAGCACATCATTATATACCAGCCCAACTTCAGTAACCCTACAAATGTCACTGCTGTTTAGTTTTCTGTCTTCATTTATGCTGGAAGTGATATTAGAGCTGTACGTTTTAATTTGTTTCCAAAACCCCGCAGTCAGGACATGCTATATTGTATTTAGATAGAAGCTAGCGAGCTAACTCCCTGGTAACTTCCAACTCCGTTAAATGTCATAAATTCCGTTTTCATGGATGCCTGGATGTTAAACTCAATTGTTACACCTGGTAGAGCAGAACACTGATTATTTTATTAAAGATGAAAGACTTTAGACAGTTTTTCAACTCTCAGTAATGCCACAGTGATATATGGACCTGCAGCGGAGTTTAGACCCAGACACGGCTAGTGACGTCAGACTGAACAACTGGATATTGCTTGGTATAAGCCAGAAGAATTTGCTTAGTTGTCTTTGTGCACCCCCACTGCGTTTTTTGATTAATTGAATAGCTGCAGCAGGAGTGATTATTTAAGTTTTCCTTTTCTTTTCTTGTTATTTTTCTTTGCTTTCGGTTAAATACATGACATGGTACCTGCAAAAGCATTTTGTGTTGTGTGTATTTATTAATTACTGCCCATCAGCTCCAGTAGCATTCCTAAATCTTCTGATTAATAATAACCTAATATTTCACTCAATACCTAGCCTGTGGTAATTCATTAGCGCTTCATCAGTGTTACATTTCTTGGCGAGCCAGCCAGGAGCTGATTTGGTTAATAATTAATATATATTCAAACTGACAGGTTTATAACTGATGCAGAGTAGTGTTTATAAATGATTAATCAATGAGTTTTAGAACATGAAAACATAATTAATAAGGAGTGTTATACATTAGCTTATTCATCATGAATAAAGTGTTTAAAGCAGTGCTTGTAAACTATTAACTGATTATGAGAAATACTTTGTAGATGCTGTAGAGATAATTAAGCAACGATTAACTAATGGTTAATAGGGCTTTGGAGTTGACGTCACACCGCAATGCATTGTGGGAGCGCAGCACCATTTTCGGGGT